AAGGAGAAGAGAAGAGGTATGTATCAGTGTATAAATAAGCACACGCACATGTATGTAGAAAGACAAAACAGGTATGGCAGCATGTTGATGAATTTCTGGAATGAAGGGTGAATCTAGGGGAAAGGTGTATGAAAGTTTATTTATAATGTTTTTGTAACTTTCCTGTTGGTTTGGAGCTTTTTGAAAATGAAGCTTCATTAGTTAGGAAAGTGAATCAGTAGTCAGAGCAGCACTGGAGACATTTGAACAACGGCTGGTTGGGTCCCACCTTCCCTGTAGTGGCCTTGGTGTGTTCTGGGATTTAATCATTCATCCTATGCCAGCGAATGCTTCTGCTCTCCTTGTCTCTGTTGCCAAATGTCTGCCCCACCTCGGTCAGGAAGTTGTCATCCATAGACAGAGCACCTGGGACTGTGTCCCTCTAAGAGACGGTGACAAGGGCAAGGGGTGGGAAGTAAGTGGCTGTTCTTGTCCTTTTCCTCAGGGAGCAGCAGTCAAACAGGGCAGACAGAAGTGAAAGCGAACTACAAAGGCTGTGAAGGAGAGGTGCAGGATGTGGGAAGTTCTAACCCATTTGAGGGCTCAGGGGACTCTGGGAGAAGTGGTGCTGCTGATCCCAGAGCTGTGGACAGTGGGGTGATGGAGGGGCCAATGCGTGTGGGACTCTGGCAGGTGCTGGAGCTGTTGAGTGAAGCCAGCCTGCATGGGGCAGTGTGTGTGGATTCTTTGGTGGATGAGGCTGGAGAGGCAGCTTGTCTCTCATAAACCAGTTTGGTAACTTATTTTTCTTTTTTCTGTGAGCCATGGGAAGGGGTAGTCAGTAACGTCATGATCAGATTTGCATTTAAAAAAAAAAAGCCCTCTAGCTGTTGTGTCCAAGTCGAGACATCCCCAAGAAGACCACCAGGAAACTCTTCTGATGTAAATATATGAGGAGTTTATTGTAAGCTCAAGCCTGGACTCCCAGTGTCACCGACACAGTGGCTTCAAGCTGGAAGTCCTGACCCACTAAATTAGCCTATTTTTATAGGATTTGGGTGGCTTGAAATTTTCTTTATTCTATTGGCTTTTTTTATAATTTCTGTTGATTCTATTGGCCTATAATTCTAACTTATTATTGGATATTATAAGATGTAATATTTTAAACTTATTGGCTATTATTTGGGCGTGGACAGGGGTTTGTGCAGGAGATTTATCTTAGTCATCTAACTGTCACAGCCGGTTTTGCCATACTTTGACCTGGCTGCAGTTTTCCGAATAAACGCCCAGTTGTGATTCCTGGAAACTGCTCATTTATAATTCCTGAAAAACCTGGTTTTTGGTTAATCTATTTTTTGGCAACGGAAGGCTATCTGCAGAGTTTAAAGGTCAGCCCGAATAATGGAGCATCTAATCTGGCTTAACTAAAATGGAGGGACTTTGGCCTCTTTTCGGTTCCTCACTAGCTGCAATGTAGCAAATAAAATGAAAACACTAGCAGCAGCTACGAGAAGGAAGGCAGGAGGCTGGCAGGGCATCTAGTGAGCTTTGGTGCTACTGCAGACCAGATGGTGGCTGGCTGTACTGGTGGAGAGAACTGGGTGGATTGCAGAGATCTGTGGGAGGGAGGCTCAGCAGAATTTGTGATTAATCGGACAATCCCACTCTGACACCCTTTTATTGAAAAGTTTCTCTGACTCCGGTTTGCAGTTGGTTAGAAAATGCAGGAGCGTTTTTTCCTTTCTTCTAAAGAGCATTTGCAAATATATCCACTTACATGGCATTGATTGTCTTGCTCTTGCTTGTCTGAGGTGAATATTTATCTCACAGAGAGGATGGCTTATCTCATTCAAGAAGGCCATGCTAATTAAGGATCAAAACTGACCCATCTCACACGTTCTGGGAGCTAAAACTGTGAGATGGAAATTAAAGGAGCTTTTAGATGATCTACTGTACTTGTAAAATTGCACATTAGACAATAGAGTTTCTACGGGAGGATATGAATTTTGACAGGGAAGAGGCCCTGCACGATGCAATCACAATAACCAACAAATAAATGCCACTGTACTTTTCTATGCCATGGATGATTTACAATTATAGCTGTACACGGTTCCCTGTGATTTATGGCATGCTGTTAGCCATGGAATTACTTAGCAAAATCAGTTTGGCTTGATGTAAGATTTTTTTTTTCTCTTGCTTAGAAAAAAAATTTGGCCTGAAGAAAAGATGACATTAATTTAGGAATAGTGGAGTTATCATTGAGTTATCAAAATAAATCCTAGGACATAAATCAATTCTACTGCAAGGGGAATGCTAAATCGATAAACTCAGAAAGACTTTATTGATTCTGTGGCCATCACTCAAGCTTTCTTCATTAGATTCCTGGGCCATCTGTTTAATCGAAATGATAATGTGGATAACTCTGGGTAGGTGCACGCATCCTGACTTTGATATGGGGGTAGCTCAAGGTAAGTGAAATGGTCTGGCTGGGCTGGCTTTCTTGTGCTAGCTCGGGAATGCTCACGTGGGAGGACTTTACATCTTGTTCTGGTCTCCTAGAACATCGACTACTCCAGGCAATTATGGGTACATGATAAAGTCATTCCTTTAAACAATTAAAAAAGTTTATTAATTTGTTTGTTTTTGAGATAAGATCTCATGGCATAGCTCAGGCTGGTCTGGTACTCACTATGTATGCTTGGCTGGGGAACCAGAACCTTCAGGCCCATCCCTTCCTAAGTATGTCTTTGTTCTTTCCATGTACCTTTGCTATGTGACTTGCTTCCTTATTGGATCAATATTACCTAAGCAACTGTACTTGTAATCTTATTGGTTGATTATAGTTTGACCCACATTGTAGCCAGCTCATGATTTTGCTCTAAAACACATTCTCAGAGAAATGGGCTCTGTGGCAACCCACTTTTGGGTCCTCTCCTGTCTCTCAGGAGCTATCTGTCAATAAATTTTTTCCTACTCTTAACCTCTGCTGTTCTTTAGAATTCATTCTTTGATTTCAGGGGTCACGAACTTGGTGTATCGAACATCTAGCAGGTTGGGAGTTACATTTTCACTTATATCAGCTCCACACCTGGCTTAAGGTTACTTCTTCCAAACTGAATTTAAAAATCTATACAAATAAGTTGATCACAATATTAGGCGACATTTAAAAGTTACTTGGAGTTAACACTACACTAAGCTATTGGCAGCAATTGTACTGAACTGTACAATACAACTGTGTCCATATGGCAGAAAAGTTCCTACCAGGGGCAGTAATTACCACCTACTTGCCCAGGTACTTATCAAGACTTTGCTTGTGTCACATTGGCTAAGGTCCCACTGGCTAAAGCCAGTTACATGCTACACCCGTAAACTAAGGGGTGGACAAATAAACTATCACTGTTTGACAGGAGCTGGCTTGTGGACATTTGTTTTAAATATACTTCAAAAACATAAGTAAACTTGCATTTTCTGCTTTAAAAAAAACCTTAGCTATAGATGTGTCCTCCTATGCATTTTTAAGCTCATATATTGAATACTTACTATGTATTAATTGTTTTACATATCTAAATCATTTAATCCATAGGCAGCCTGAAAATATGGATGAAACTGTTATCCCCTGGTTACTCGTGAAGGCACTGAGGCTCAGAGACATAAAGCAATTTCCCCAAGGTCACACAGCTAGTAAGTAGTCTGACTTTGATTTTTCTGGTTCTATGGCTGTACTCCTACTAGACATTCCACGATGATTAGTGTTTTCCTTTTCTTGAGTGTTTAGAGGTTGACACTTCTTGGAAGTTGTAAGAGATATGATGAAGAAGATTTCTCTAAGTTATGTTGTGTGAGACCGGCCCTCCTCTCCCATGTTTTTGTGTCCCAAGTGTGATGTGGGCCTCATGGGAGAGCCACACCATCTCCCAAGACAGCTGATTAAGATACCTCCTGAGTTTTGGACACTTTGATGTTTGTGTTTCTTCTAAGCCACGGAGGCCAAGAGTTGGTAGCGATTCCATCAAACCCTGAGTTAAGGGTGTGGGTGGGGCTGTTCCATGTGGCTGTTTGTCTTCTAGCCCCTCTCAGGTGGCAGAGTTCAACCTGAGCAGGCAAACATAACCCAGTAATCTCCATCTTCTTTGTCCTGGGCCAAGTGTTGCCCCGCCAAATAATTGTTATGAAAATTCTCAGCTGGCCCCCAACATCTCCCCCATCCTCTCGTGATTTATTTATTAGCTGATTGTTGCCTCCTGGGGGAGCCCAGCTGAGACCATAGGCCTGGGGTGTACTTTGAAGAAGGCTGTGCCTTGTTGGGTAACCCCATTCCTTGAATGGGTGGGATTCAGAACAAAGTTGAGAGATAGCTGTTGGACTGGAAAGATCATCTGTGAGGATTAACACCAACATTCCCGAGGAGCCTGGTCTGGAGTGCTGGGGGGCATCTTTACGCTAACCACTGTTTTAAGTCATGGGGCTAAAATGTAGGCAATTTCCTGAAGAGCTAGAACCAGTTTGTATGAATGGATCAAATACTCAGGTTTTCAAAAAGTCCCAGGGCCTGCAGATAGGCTTCTGGGTATGCTCCAGCTCGTGAGAACTGATTGCCAGATTCTCAGGAATTTTTTGAGCCGGTTGTTAAATATAGGCAGTTGTTAAATATAGAAGAAACTCATAATGAAGTAATTTACACCAAAAAGGCAATAAATGGTCAAAACTTACCACCTCCTATGAATTTCATTATTCTCTATGATCTTGAAATTCTTTGAATCTACTTTTTTTTTTTTTTTTTTTTTTTTTGTGGCTCTGGGGATTGAAGCTGTGGTCTTGTATGTGCAAGGCACGTACCCCACCACTGAGCTACATTCCCAGCCCTGTATTTCCTTTTGAACTGCAGTGGAAATACTGTATCATGTTCCACATTTCTTTATGACTCTGCCTTTTGTGACATCAGGATGGTAGCTTGGAATGTCATGCAGGGACAGCGATACCATGGAGATCTGCAGATGTTATAAATCAGGGTTTGACTGTCATTACCTAGAGTCGAGACGGTGCCAGAGAAATGTGAATATGTACATTAAAATTTAAAAAGAATGTCTAAACCTGTTACTTTGTGGAAAGTACAAAAAAAGTGGAGGAAATTCTCCCCGTATTTGAAACTATCATCTGACGGGGCAGGCAGTCATGTCATTGGTGAGTAAGTGGAAGTTTTGACCTACATCTTCATTATGTCACTTTCTGTTTATCTGTTAACATAAAGGAAAGAATCAATCAATATTCATGTTGCTGCTTATTGATCAATTGCAACCATTAGCTGAGTAGAGGTGCAAGAATTTGGCAAAAATTAACAAAGCATAGTGAGACTCTGTTGACTGTATAGAATTCATAATAAAGAGCATTGTATAAGTTGTTAATTGGGTGTTATATACCTTCAGATTAGTAAAATTTATTACACACTTATATGCTTGGTATAATCATATATGCATACACCTTTCCCCCAGAGAAGAGTTAAACATTTGCACATTACTGGCATAGTCTCACCATTCTCTTGTCTATCACACATAACAAGCTGGGTCAGGCAGGAGGAGTGCAAGTTTGAGGCTAGTTGGGCAATTTAGTGAGACCCCTGTCTCAAAATAGTAAGAAAAAAGGTCTAGAGATGTAGTTTGGTAGTAGAGAGCTTGCTTAGCATGAGTAAGGCCCTGGGGTTTGATCCCTGGTACTGAAAAAGAAGGAGGAGGAAGAAGGGGAGAAGGAAGAGAAGATGGAGAAGGAGGAGGAGGAGGAGGAGGAGAAGGTAAAGAAGGATGAGAAGGAAGAGGAAGAAAAGGTGAATGAAGAGAAGATGGAGGAGGAGGAGGAGGAACTGGGAGATTTCCCTCCATAATCTGGTCCCTGGGTTCACTACCATCTGTGTTAGTTACTTTTCTCTTGTAGCTCAGACAAAACAGTTAGTAGAAGTTTCAGTCCATAATCGGCTGCCCTCAGGGGAGGGATGGCAAACAGGTACCATAGAGGAGAAACAATATGGAGTGCCCAAAGTGGCAGAAGCAATAAGGGACCTCAACAGTGTCTTTCTGCCCCTTTTATCTTATTCAGATGACTTAGGCCGGAAAAGCACTTGCTCTCTTAATCCCAGTGCCCTCAGGCCCAGCACCACCGTGAATCGATCAGCACTCTAGATTCAGCCACCTCTAAAAAAGCAAGAGGTTTTAGGTGGGACATCTAAACACGAGCCGTAACACCATCTAGTCTCAGACTGCTGTATAAACGATCATGTCTGGAGACATCCAAATGAGACAGAAACCTGATTCTTACAATCTGAGGCCTTTCATAGGAAGGGCTGTCACCTAAGCATGTAAAAGACAGAGTTAGTGGTTCTTGGGTCTCCTGTAAGTGGGCGTCTTATTCATTACAAAGGAGCATTTTAGGACTTTTGCATTTACAATTAACAAGTTTACAAGGACAACCAACACTTATTCACTTTATCACTTACAAGGAACTTCGTACTTAATGAGCTTATTTCCTACTTCTACAGATTTCTCTGTTTAGCAATTCCCATGCAGCTGGAAGGGGCCTGTTTATCTCAGCTCTTCCTTTGTACCTACAGCCAGCTTGTGCCTCCCCAGGATGGAGCCACCTCTTGGACATGGTATTAAAGGCTTTTACTTGCTATTTCCTAATCTGCAGTGAATTCAGGGCAGGAAACAAAACCCTTTAAGAGATTATTAACGGTTTGAGTGGAAAGAGAAATTCCACTTGCTAAGAGTAAGTAGAAGTCGTTATCTCTGAATCTGCTTCCCTCCTCAGTGATAATGGGTAGGGAAGGGGAGCCCAGCACATAGCTGCTTCAGGCTTTATGGAGAGAGTTCTTGGCCATTTGCTAAATGCTATACCTATTCTAGCTTTCCTTACGTAGTAAATTAAAAAAAACCCCCAAAAAACAAAAACATTGATATTATACCCAACCCAATTCTTTTGTTGTTGTGAGTCACCTTGTAGTGTGTAGGTTTTGCTCTGGAAAATTCTTCATAGAGTAATATATAAATTAAGACAAAAGCAACTGATTGGTAATAGTTCATGGTTAGTAACAATGAGGTGAGTTCTCTTTTGCACATGGGCCCTTGGGAGTTTGGCTAGAACCCAGCTAACATGATTGATTTTCAGAGCCATGTGGGATCGCTCAGTCCTGCAAATGGATATTTGGAACTAAAAGAATTGATGTGATGTATGCTAATAAACAAACTAAATGAGAGTATTATCAGATCTCAACTCCACTTTATGGTGCATGAATTTGGATTGTCTACAATAGCATTCTTGGCACACCTTGGAATAAAGAAATTCAGTTGCAAACGTAAACAGTGCAAATGCCAGTTTATACATATAACAAAGGCCAACTAACTGGGGCTCACAAATACAATGGAAAATTGCAAAACTAAAGTTGTATTTTATGCAGCCAGAGATTGCCAAACAAACATTTTAAAACCAAGATTTGCTCCTGTTCTCTTTAGTTATTGATCACCTTTGTGAAGGAGAGGCTATTGACGTGTGCAGAAGGCTGTAACGAGTTGAAATAGTTTTGGGCGGAATATCTTTGGCAGGTTTTCGTGTTCAGATTTAAGTGGGAACCACTGTGGGTCCTGAGATAGCTTCTCTAACCAGTTTCATCACAGGCTTAATCATCCAAAACATCATTCCCTGTAATTTGACTGAAAAGCAGTGAGACAGCAAAAGCTTCAATTCTTGAAAGGGATTTAGCAGCCGGCCAGCTTATGCTCATTAAAGATGCACTTACAACATTTTCTCCTCTGTCTCCTTATTCCAACCACGACTAAATAAATCCAGAGGCTTGAACCAAATATGAAGGTGGGAGGGTCAAGACAAAGGACGAGAACAAATTCCTGGGGGAAAAATAGGTGGGAAAAAAAGTTAAACAAGGGTTTTCTCTCTTACAGAAGTTCTGGTCTTAGTATCGAAAGCTTGAAAAGTGAGTTCTTTTCTTTCCTGGAGAACAGTTAAGGATACCCCCTGGCCAGATTATATCAGAGAGAACCAGGCACTAGTTGTGCAGAGACCTGGCTCATGGAGCCTTTGCCCCATTGTGGAGCTTGGAAGACACTCTCCACCTCTCAAAGCCTGGGTCCTTGGTTTGAAGCTGAGTTTACTCTTAGCCCCTTTATACTATCTCCTGATGAGAAAGCTTTCAACTTTTAAGATTAAGATCCTTTGAAGACTTTATTCACATCAGGTTTTCTTAATGTTTTAACTTTGGATTTTAGCAAACATTAAGTTTTTTTCCCCCCATTAAGTTGACTGGTACATTTAAAGCAAACAATACAGTTACATTTATCAGTGGGATCTTGTACCTTTACGTATGTCTTGGTTCTTATTTTTTCCCCATACCCCTGCCCTCCCCTCACCCCATTCAAACATTAAGTTTTTCAAGAAACTGTAGTGACAGTATCTGGGGAAGGCTAGATGTTTCAGGAAGTGGATAGCTCACATGTAAGGAAGGAACAGTCCCTCAGGTAGGCCTACATTGTCAAGCCAGCTCTCACTTTAACTGTCAGTTTTTTCAGTCACATTTTTTTAAAAAAGCAAACAAAAAATACAAAACAAAACAAAACAAAACAAAAAAGCAGTTACAAACCTAGGTGTACATTGTTAGATAAAAGAGCCAAGACCAGACCAGAACCATAACAAGCCTTTATTACGGTGAGGATCAGCTGAGCTACCTCTGAGCAAAGGAGAGAAAGCGAGACGGAGGCACAGGGAGCTTCTTTTATAGGAGCAGGGTGGGGTTATTCTGGGCTGGGGCGGAGTTGAGTAAGGTAGTATTAAGAGATTGGAGGAGCCTGTGAGGAGGAAGCAAGTATTAGGTTAGTCTTTTGGTGTGAGAAGAGGCATGATGGGAAGAAGAAGCCTGTCCTTTGTTGGGAGAAGCCATATTTTAACATGGAGGCTGCTAGTCTACGTGGTGGCCATCTTAAGGCAAGGGAAATCTAAGATACTTGTCACCCAAATATCTGCTGTCTCCCTTTGCAAGGGCCTCTTCCTCTAGCATAAGGCCTGCATAGGCCGGCATTGACCTGAGCATTGCCTTTGTCCTCCTTGTTGTTTTCTCCTCACCTGCACTGGCCTTCTGGGACTGCCTTCTTCTCCTCCCTGCTTTACCCTTCACCTTCCCTGCCCTGACACCTCCAGCCTTCCTTCAGTCCTCCTGACACCAGTGATAGAGCCCCATGGAGCGAGTCTTTGCCCAGTGTTTGGAGCTGTTAGAAGGGCGACTAATTGCCACAGTGAGCAATGGATCAGCCAGTCCCCATGAGGAGAGCCTGTGCTCGTGGGAAAGAGGGTGATGAAAGGGAGCATTCAGTGGCTTCCCTCCCCTCTCCTTCCCCTCCTACAGTCCTGAAATGGGAACTGTGGATCAGAGAAGAGAAGGGCATTTAGGGACATGCAAAGGGAAGGCAGGGAGCTGCAGACAGCCAGTTGCCTTGTTCGCATTTTGCCTGAAGCTGACTCTTTTAGCAATTCCCCAACTACACGAAGACCTTTAAAGATGCCTTTGGCTTCCAACCTCTGATTAAGCCAACGGTGTGGCAACACGACATCTTTGTGCCGAGGTTGGCCAGAACCCCATGGTTTTTCTCTGTGAGCTCTTTTACAGTCCTGTCTCTTTGGGGGTTGTTTAAACCCCTAGTGACAGATTTAGAGATTTAATGACTCTCAGGCTCCTTGATTTTCTTAGTGGGATAAAGAGGTTCTTCTCCTGTCACTCATCGGAACCAACTTGTCTTCAGTTTATGTTGAAACCCCTCTTTGTCACGTCCTCCAGATCGTAATGAAAAGGCAGATTAACCCGATGATGATGATGGAGACCAACTTGTCAACTCAGTGCTCTTAGTTAAATGACACCCACCACGAACCTTGGAGCAGCATTTGCAGTGTTGGCTGCCTGTGTTATTACAGTTGGCTTCATTTAATAAACTGGCTGTCAGCATGTTAATCCTGAGTCAAGTGTAAGTATGAGAATTCTTATTTGCCATGATTAGGCGACATGGATGGCCAACAAAATTTTCTCATGCCCTAGGATTTATTTATAATTAAAAGTCTAAATTGATTAAGTGTTTTGGTCAAGAGCACCTGATTGACAGAGGCTTTATGGGTTTTCATGATGAAGGTCTGTTACAAGGATATTGTTTTAATCATTCAGCTTGATTTTACATTAGGGTTTATGGGGATGTGTATTTCCTATGTGGTTTCTACTCCTTCAGCCTCCTCTTCTCTCTGCCTGTACTTGGGTCCTGTCAGTGAAGCAGGCTTTTTTAAAATAAGGGGTACAGAATAACCCCCTCAGGGGGCTGTGTTAGAAATGATTTTCTACCTTCCCTCCTGCTGAGTCGAAGGTGGATCCAGGATGGTAGTTTCCAGAGCTCTGGTCAGACTGGTGGATTCCGACATGATTTTGAACCCCTTTCCTTCCCCTCTCCCCTTGTGGGAGTGTTTACTGTCCCCCTACCTCACACCCAGTGCCAGGTGCACAGTGAACCCTGTATGGATGCCTGAAGGATGAAACAGTGAGGAGGATAGGAGTCACAGGCTCCAAACACAAAAGGTTGTCTCTCACTTTTTCTTTTTGGTACCTGGGATCGAACTTGGGACCTCATGCTTGAGAGGCAGGCTGCAGAACAACTGAGCTAAATCCCCAATCCTGTCTCTCACTTTTTAAAAAGAGAGTTCCTCTGCGTCCTTGGAAAAGCAGATGTCCAAACAGGATTAACCATACACATATTTGATTAGAGGAGACATCCATATCAGAGAAGATGTGAAGGGAGGTGGGAGAGCTTGTGAACTGTCAGTCTGTGATCCAAGTCTGACCCCAGTGAGCGAGGGAGGGAGAAGGCAAAGTTGGGCAGTCTTTGCCTAGACCATGGCCAAGGAAGACTCAGCAAGGTTGCTAGGAGCCCCAGAGAAAAGCTGGCCCCCAGCCTGGCCAATGACCTGCCTTAGCACCTTGCTGCCTTTAGCCAGGGGCTGTGAAGCAAAGCTGGCACTGTTTCACAGTGCAGCATCGGGGCTCTTGGTGAATGATTGGAGGCTGGTGTGGGAGCTTTGCCTTTCCATGGCTGCCAGAGCCAATGTCCAGACCTAAGCTATGTGCCACTGTGGGAAGAAGGAGGGCAAAAGATTATACCTTCTGGCATGGAGCCCCCCGCTTCCTGCCAGGGAGGAAGCCTGATATGTCTGAGGACATGGCCTGTAAGTGTCACCTAGCAAGGCTGCTCTGACACCATCAGCCAGCAGGTTATTTTCTTCAAATATCTTTGCCTTTCCCAGGACTGTCAGTGTAAATAAGAACAGCTGAACACAGTTGATCTTAAACCAATCTCTCAAACCAAGTAGTTTAGCTAGTGCCAGAGGAGGAGAGGGAAATGTAGTAATCAGGGCCCTGACCAGTGCAGGGTAAGGCTGCCCAGGAAAGATCTCCCAGGTGTGGGGAAGGGAGAGGACAAGGGCTCGAGAAACAGCTGGAAGTTGCAGGTCGAGAAAGGGAGGTAGGTGCTCCATCCCTCCCCCTATCTGAACCAAATGCTCAAAGTATCTTCATGATTTCATCTCTGTTTCTCTCTTCTCCCTGCATTCTCTGTCTGCAAGTGATTCATCCTGTCTCACACCCACCACTAACCACATTTCTGTCAGAAGCCCTTCAATGGACCCGACGCCCACCCCACTTTCAGGGTGATGTCCTAGCACAGTGTTCAGGGCCTTCCTCAAATGATTGCTCAAGCCCTCTGGCCTTTCCGCACTCCTTGACTTTCACAGGCAAAACTGCCAGGTCCAACTCTTGTCTTGGGGTTTATCACCCCTTTGGAGGTCTGATTGTTTGCAGCTGTCCTTTCCAATGGGCTCCTAGGTTCTACTCCCCCTTTACCACTGTGCCCAGGAAACGACACGAATCCTTCCCTAAAGCGCAACAGAGGGCAGGCTGGTGTGTGGTTCCCACACCGTCCAGGCTTGTTGAGGAGTGAGGAAGGGGACTCCATGCAGGTTGCTACTGAGTATGGGTGCCTTCATTTGGGGCACCTCTGTTCGCAGTGCATCTCTTTGTAGAATCTCTGCATCACTTAGGGTGCAGCCTGGGAGAGCTGTGTCAGGAAGAGGAAGGGTCTACCATTGACCTCAAGCTACCCACAGCACTTTGATGTAGTGCTCTGGGGCAGCTGGTTTGGTGAAAGCCATGTCCCTTTAGTAGAGCAACCTCTCTGCTATCTCTGCCACTCACAGTAATGCGGTCTCCCTCTGGCCAACTGTCCCAAAATCTCCCTCATGGCCACTGGCAAGGGGCACTTCATCCACAGCTCCATGGTCTGCTGTCCTGTCCCTTGAGGTGCCTGGTCCCTTGAAATGCTGACTGCTCGCTTTTGCTCCAGGCAATTCTGACTCAGCCAGTCAGAGTTGTTCCACTGGTGATTCCGGAGCAGTTTAAACTTCCCATGTGGCTCTCTGTGCTTGTGTTTGTGAGGATGAGCTGGGCTCAGTGCACAGGATTCAGCTTCCAAAGAGAAATGTAGATGGCAAGGTCAGGTGACTAGCAAGGAGACTTGCAAATAGAAAGTGAGACTGGTGTTTGTATAGAAATTCAGGGAATGGGGCAGGGGTCAGACCTTATGCATTTGTATCTACTGCTTGAATACCTTGGGTGCCACATTTCCCATTTGGAATAGAAATCTTTTTTTTTTTTTTTTGTTCTTTTAATGATGAGGTTGGAACTGAGGGCCATCTACCTACTAGGCAAGTGCTCTACCACTGAATTATAACCCCAGCCCTGTCAAAGATGTTTTTAGTACAGAGAAAAGGGAGATGAAATGACTTGGGGAATCAGAAGTCATATTGGGTTTTAGCATTTTGCACCAAATTATATATTCTCTGCATTGAAAAGAACCCTTTTCTTGGATTAGATTGAACTTTTTTAGTGCATACACACACACACACACACACACACACACATACACATACACACACACACACACACACACACACACACCCCTTCTATAAATACCAGTGTATCTGTACTTTACATACCCTGATCTAAAGACTGATGATTACCAAGAACAGCAGTGACCAACCTCATAATCTTGTTAATGTAATTAATTAATTAGTTAATTGCTGCCAATTTAAAATGAACTATGCACCCATAGTTGGTGTAAATATAAACTTGCTGAAATAAAAATTTACTATCATGCTTGCATTTTACAATGAAATTTTTAATGAAAAGCAAACTGGTTTATGTGGAAAATATTTACTGAATTGTATTTGCTCTACTGGGATTTTAGCTCATTTCTGTAGTATGTGAAGGAAAGAAACTAAGCTCTAATTTGAGAAAAAACAAATAATAGGAAGGCTTTCTATAAATTTTTTTTGGGGGGTACTGGGGATCAAACTCAGGCCCTTGTGCTTGTGAGGTAGGCATCGGAACCACTGAGCTAAATCCTTGGCCCTTCTATAATAATTTTTAAGGATAACATGGATGAGACATCAATTTTACTCTGTGCAGAGCACTTAAAAATTAATGATGCAGGGAATTTTTTAGAAAATTGAAACAAATGCACACCATAAATATGGCACTATGCTATACCAGAGATTAAAACTATATTCCTTTCTATTCTAGCAAAGATGGTCAGAAAGTCATTTCAGTTGTCTTAAGAAGAATACATTTTGAATCAATGAATGCCCTCTTTCCTCCATCTCCCATGAAGATGTCTGGGACTCTTTGAGACCTGAAAAAAAGATGAAGAGGTCTATTTTCCAGAAAAAAGGATGGGAACAGGCATTTGGGGACCAGGATCTAGGGGAAGGAAGCAGTAACTTCCTGGGAGGAGGCTGGGGGTGCAGGTCCTTGAAGCAGGTGACAGCTGCATCCACCTGAATCCCACTTTCTGGGGCTTGGAGTCACAGAGGAAGGCAGAGGATGGGGCAAGAGAGGGACTTCGGTAATGGTGGGTGTGCAGCAAGAGCTGGGGTAGATAATTCCAGTTGGCACCATGATTTTGGTTTGTCCCTCCTGGTTGAGTGGGCTCGGCTTTCAGGACTCTCGGGGGTCTCTGTGGGTGATGGCGTGTGGTGGCTCCTTCAGAACAAGTGACTCCTTCTGCCCATATTTGGAAAGGAGCTGAAGCATGCCAGTGCCCTTGGGGACAAGTAGAGGGGCAGAAAGGCTGGCTGTGTCAGTTACATATTGCTGAGTGTGAGTGTAACTCACATTGACTAACATTGTAGTCACTGGGATGAAGACCAAGTGGACTTTCCTTAGGGACCTCTGAAATAGAAAAATCTTGTTCATTGTGGATTTTGGATGTTACTTGGAACTGCCTGTAGAGGGTAGGGGAAGGGGGAGGAAGAAGGGTTGAGGATATAATAAAACAACAGGCTTCCCCTACTGGGATTGTCTCTTTACTCACCTGCTAAAATCCACGTGGATCCCTTCATTGTTTCTGCTCTATCTGGCTTGCTAGAATTCCTGTAAGCCACATTTAAAAGCATGACAATCAGGTGCATTATCCTTTATGCTTGATTTCATAAAAATTAATTACAGGAAAAATATAGGCTGTGATGTCCTCTTTCTATCCCACCGAGAGTAGAATCTTTGTAGCACTTTCTGCTGTGATTAGAACTCAATAGTTCTCCTCTGTGTTGTAAAATAGTATTATAGTTCTGCCCATGGTGGCATTGCATATAATCACAAGCCTGTTGAGCTCTTCATTTAAGCCCGGTTTGGTGGTGGTGGTGGGGATGTGGAACTCAGCCTTTTTTCAATTACATAGGATTAAATTTGGCATTCAAGGTTTTGTGTGGAGCTGGTGCTAAATGTTACTGTACATTCTGACCACGAGTGTGAGGGAAAATCAATTCTGTTCTGGATATTCAGTCTATATGCACCGGTGGCCCAGGTTTGTGGAAAGAGACAGTGCCCTTTCCGATGTAGGCAGGGTTCATGTCTGAATGGTCTGTATCCTTTCCATTCTGGTGGTCAAAATATGGTGGATATCACCTCTGACTTAACCTGTACTTTTTTTTCCACATGTAGGGTGGATTATCGAGCTGTAACCCAAGATATCACATCTAGCCACGAAAATAAATGCCAACTGACATGTCTACTAAAATTTATGGGCAGCCAGTGAAGTGCAGTGGATTTACAAGGAGCTGCCCTGAGGCTTCATCAAATGAGGCAACTGAGCACTGTTGAAATTATTGTTTTGTTTACTGCCCATTAAACTTCCAATGGGCAGACTGCCAAACTGGGGCTGATCTACCCGGGACCATACTTGGGTAAGTAACCCCCTTTCTTGTGACCCTTTCTGTCTCAAGTCCATCTTGTGCACATGCCCTTTTGGTCCAGTCCTACCTTCATGATGGGTTAGCTTGCTAGGCCAGTTTCTGGAGAACTGGACACACGCCGCCACATAAGATTGTGGAAGTCACTGACCTCCTGGACTCCTTTGAGTCTTTCATTCTGAATGTTGTGTTCTGCATTGAATTTCTGAGGTATACCACTAGGTCTAGAAAAGATCTGAGAAATGGGAAGATGGGAAAAGGTGAAAAGCTTTGGGACTTATTTATAACAGTGATGAAGTTGGAGATTACATGTCTCTTGCTCAAGTTTCCTGGGCCACTGTAAACAATACTTGCCTAAGAATAGCCAGTCATATACAGTAGACCTGTTCTGACCAATTATCTCAAATGTATGATTTACAATAATAATAAAAATAATAATAATAATGACAGTAACATTCAGTCACGTAATAGTTATCTTGTAGTGTGGTTCCATAGCCATATACCTCACTCAGGCTTGGATGGTATCACATACTTATCTCATTTAGTTTTTAGATCCTGTGAGTAGGCATTATTTTCCAACTTTTATAGATAAGTAACCTGAGGCTCTGAGGCTTAGTAACTTTCCCATTTACTTAGCTCAGCTCTGTCCAGCACCAAAGCTCTTGTCGACCTCTGCCACCATTTAGCTTTCCAAGGAATCCCAAAGGTCCCATCCATCTGATCCTTTTTCTAAAATCAAGTCCAAGTGCTTCACGTACTCCAACTTTTTATGTAAAGTTCATATTTTCTTTAAAATTCTCTTGTTCACTCCTCCAGTCAAGGTTATATTGGGCACAGAAGATTCTTTACCTTTTCCAACCACTTGTCACCCAAGGAATATTATGAGCTCTGGCAGTCTCCGAAATGTCCTGCGCCATGCACGCAAACAGCTCTCTCTGCTTTTTCATTTGAAGTGAGCGAATTTAAAATGGTTTCCACACGGCTTGACTGTCAAAGTAGTTCCAGTAAAGTATAATGTCGCATACACAGATAATCAGGTCTTAGAGCTGGAGAGTGCAGTTCCTGCCTCCTTACTGGTATGAAGTGGGAACATCTGCTCTGCACGAAGCCTGGGTCAGGCCATCCCCTCAACTGTGACCTCCTGTGGTTGGGACAGGCTGGCCCTGGATTACTTAAAGACTTCACAGGAGTACTAGAAGCAGGCACAGAATCGATTTGAGGAGAAAGCCTAATGGGATTGAATCCTTCCCTGTCAGTAATTATTTTGGGATTGATGGCTTGTTTTATAAAATAACTATTTCCTTTCCAGAGGTAGAATTTTTGCCTTGGGTACACATCCAAACAATTTTACTCGAAAGACTCTTACAGAGAGGAGCCCTTATATGAATTTAACACCTTTTCTTTCTTAAGATGAATTATGCAAACTGGAGGATGTGGGACACTGGATTTATTTGACAGATTTTGTTCCAACCCCTCCCTCTATTATGACTATTATATTATGATGTCATTATTATTATTATTGTTAAATACCAAAGCCAATGGAAATTGGGATAGAAAAATGGTGCAAGCTCTCAGGCCTGGGTCTGAGGTTTCCCTGGGAACTGTCACTGGTTTTCCAGAAGCCCCCTTTATTCTAGATGTGGCTAGATTCCGAGGGTCCTGAGAGGCCTTACCTCAGAAATACTTGAGTTTCAGAGAAGGCTGCATAGCAGAAGGGTCCCTTGAGGCTGAGAATTCTAACAGACTATTATTAGGAGAAAAAAGAAAGAATACTATTAGGGTTATAGCAACCCCCACTCACATCAGTTCTTCCTTTCTTCAGCAAATCTAAGTTCTATGTATTCTTTGAATGATGATGTTGGGCCCTATCTTGTCCACAGATTCTTTTTGCCATGGCAGTTCTTCATTGATTTAATGAATACATCTCATTCCTTTAATCTAATGTTTGAGTAGCTACTCATGCGAGATATTGGTCTAGATGTAGGCTACAAACATGAGCCAAGTTTAAATCCTTCCCTCAGGGGTTTATAATCTTCCAGGAGAGAAGTCAACCGTGGCTGGGGTTTGGAGCTTGGCTAAAGCAAAGTGGTGGAAACAGTAGTCAATAGGTTAAACAGCAAGACAACGTTCTAAGTGTTTTCGCATGCCCTTCACATTGATTCTCTATAATGACTCTTTAAAATAGGCCCTGCTATTATTATGTCTATTTTGTAGACAAAGAAAATGGGGCAATGGTGTATTAGTCAGCTTTCTAATTGCTGGGACCAAATATTGGACACCCACAACTTAAAGGAGGAAATGGTTTATTTGCCTCATAATTTCAATGGTTTCAGTCCGTGGTCAGCTGGCTCCAGGGCAGGAACCTCATGGAGGAAGGGTGTGTGGCAGAACAAAGCTGTGTAGTTCATGGTGGTTGCGAAGCAGAGCAGGGGAACAGTGCCAGATTGGAAGGGACCAGGGACCTTACCTAGCAGCTGAGGTCATACCTACATGATCCACCTAGACATACCCAGAAATGTGCTTTACTAATCCTTTGGGAGACTCACAGGCCATTGAAATTGGCAATCCACCTTGACTGTCACATATGTGTGTAGGGTAAGTTGCTTGTCCAAGCTAATATGGTAAGTAGCAGGGAGAGAATTAGGACGCAGACAGCTTGTTCCAGGACCTGTGCTTGTAACCACGAAGCTTTTATGGCTCCCTGAATAGAGAAATACATGCATACCTAGATCTGTGTGCTTGCAACTACTTCTTTTCTGCACCTCCTCCTTCTCTTCCCTTGATTATGTTTCATTTCTGTAGTGTTCAGTGGGCGATGGTAAACAAAGCTTGTTGAATTGATGTTTGCATGTGAACTTGGGAGAGCAAAGTGCTGATGATTTGTCCTTTGTTTCGATCATGGACAATTTTGGTGTCTAGTCTGGGGTGAACTCTGAGCACTGATAATGCCTTTTAGGATCTGGGGGTAGTTTTGGTGGCTGTATCCCAAATTTCGCAGTTGGTCTCAGGAAGTAAGCTTCCTAGAATCTATGTTACCAGGTCCAAATGGGCCGAGAAAGGAAGGAGAATCTAGGAGGGAAGCTGGCAGGGCCCAGACCCTTACATCCTCTGCCTGGAAAAGCCTGAATGGGGTGTTAAGAAGATGAGCACTTAATGCTCGTCTGGTTTCTGGGGAGAAGTGGTCATCTCAGTGCTCCAGAGTCTGGAGGTTGTGGTTTTAAAAAGGACAGAGGGATTTGTTTTGTGGCCAAATGTAACTTGAAAACAACATTCTGTCTGCCATTGCTGTTTTGCAGAAATCTTAATCGAGGCCAAGTCTATGCCAGGGCTAAAGACCAAGAATGGAGTAATGTCTGCAGAGAGAAAGGTTATTAGCAAATTCCTTAATTAGAGTTGGGTTCCTGTTTCAACAGTCAATTCTAATCACTTGCTAGGTTTTAACTCAGGCTCTTTGGCCTGCGGTGTCTAGTCAGAGTTCAGAAGATCAGAATCCACTGAAACTGGATTTAGTAAGATCTGATTTCCCCTTGCAGAAAATGACTATTACAAAACTTCTTTCCCACAGCAAGAAGGATTCAAAGAAATAATATGTGAAAGTGTTGACAGGCTCTCAAAGTCAGTTATTTATTACATGAGTGATAAAGATGGCTTGCTAGTCATTAATGTCTTCAGGTAAATGATTCTGCACTTACATTTCATGCTTCATCGGATCCTACTGACTTCTATTTCTCACCTAGGTGCCATTCTGCTCTGACATCTGTAATCAAAGCTTGGTGATTTACTTAGGCACCAAAGCATTAATCTTGACAAAAATCCATGACGTTTTCACCCCCACCCCAGTTCAGTAGGCATTAACCATCATCCCCTGGATGTGATAGCCTTCTCTTATTCTGATGGGAAATTGTATTTAAATATAAATATTTAGAAGTATGTTTGTTTCAACAAAAACATGTTGGAAAGCTATACGTAGTAAGTCAGCTAGGGTGGGGTGGGGTCTCTTTGAACAAAAGTATAACGCTGAAATGAACCTTGATGATCTGATAAATGGCACCCCCATTCTAGGTTGATATTAAATATTTCCATCTTCCATTCCAAATTTTTTTCTTTTTCTTTCCAATCAAGATTTAATTGCTGGAGACCAAACTGCTTTATACTCGTGCTGTACTGAGGGTATAGATAGTAAAGTATTTCCATCCTCACTGAGCTCACAGTCTGGGAAAGAAACTCGAAAGAAAATCCTTCTCATTCAGTAAGACAAATGCTGCTGAATGATATATATGTAGGACACAGAGGTGGTAGCTCAAGATGTAGAAAATGTATTTCCTTATTGCCATGTAAATGTGCAACCCTAGATTTTATCCACCACTTAGTAAAACTGGGTCTTTTCTAGTTTGTACAGTCAGTCTAACACTCCTTGTAGTTTAAAAGATTAAGAAAAAATTTTGGAGGCTGGGGATTTAGCTCAGTGGTGCCACACCTGCCTCATAAGTGCTGGGTCCTGAGTTCGATCCCCAGTACCAAAAAAACAAAAAACAAAAAAATGAAATCAAAAAAGAAAGAAAGAAAGCATTTGGGGCTTTTATCAGTTCTTGTCACTTCCCTCTTCCATCACATTGCATTTTTACTCCCTAATATATACATTTATGACACAAAACACTATTAAGTCAGACTCTCACCCCAGTGGCTCCAGTGGTCTATGTGTTGTTTTTATTTTCCATTATAAATCTTTAATTTAACTTGCCCCATTAGATTTGCAAAAAATTGAAGCTTGACTAAACATTCATTGGCAAAACTATAGAGAAAGAAATAATCTCATACATTGTTGGTGGAAATGAAAGATGGTATAATTTCTATGGAAGGGAATTTGGTGATATATAACAAAATTATGTATATATTTGCCCTTTGAACCAGCAACTTGACTGATAGTACTTTTCCTGAAAATATATTTCGAACAATATGAAAATACAAATGCACAAAGCTATATTCATTGTAGT